TGTCTACTTTAATGCCAAAATGGATATTTACAATATCTTAAAATTAAACATTCTTTAAGTATATATTGCTGTTAGGCATTTGTCCACCCCCCTGCTCCCCCACCCAGCCTCTAACAATACAGGAATAATCTTCAGTTTGCAGAGTCACCGATTCAGAATGCACTTCAACACTGAAAGGATTCTCATCACCAGCGTGACAAAGAAGATTATTTTATTGTTCTTCCAGGGATTTCCTGAGAGTGTGCGTGTAAGAGAATGCTTCCTTGAGGCTGAGAGTGATTGCTCAATCTCTTGCGCCATATTGCATTCCTGAAATATACACAACAGCTTCTGGCTGTCACAATGGACCCATCCCTAGATACTAATAAAGTTACAGAATGTTTAACTATGACTAAAGCAGTCGTAAAGCACAGGAGAGGACAACGCTCCTTTCACTCTGGATATACTCAGGGCAGTGCAGTATTTCTACGGTGTTATCAAGGTAAAAGGTAAAAACTGAACATACTGTGCCAAGGTGCTGTGATAAAGGGAATGTGGTTTGTCTTCATGGTGTGAGAATGAATCTTAGTGAGAACTTGATGCTGCTGAGAAGAGTGCCATTCTTTCCCAGTGGTGATTGGTTTTGACCTGGATGGATGGAAATGACAGCGATTGTGTATGAATGCAGCTGACAGCTCTCTTTCCCCCTTTTTTTTCCTTCCAGAAAGTACCAGCACATGGTCCCCCATCTTTCTCTTGCCCATCGTCCTGAGTATGGGTGTGATCATCGCCATAGTTGCTGTTCTTTCTTGGCAGTATGTGAGGAGGAAAGGAAGCCTGCCAAATTCTTTGGTAAGATTCAGGAACGTTGGAAAGAAGGCTCAAGGAAGTGAATTTGGCCCCATCTCTATTAAGCTGATCAAGAACATTGAACTGCTAGAAACTAGTAGTTCAATGGTTCCTACCACATACCTCAATATTGGCCTGGAGAGCATTACTAGGTATTAAAGGGCCTCATTATTAAGACCAGAGATTTCATATGGTCTGGTTGAGGGGACTTATTTCGATTTTCCTTTGTGATATGTACTGTATATTCAGAAACCGGGGTCAATTTAGTGATTTAGTTTGGTTACAGACCGCAGGTATACACTCAACATCTTAAAAAAAAACAGGCAAGCTTTGTTCCTTCCAGTCTCTGGAAGGAATAAAAAGGAACACACCAAAGTGATACGACAGTAGATGCAAATCAGCAGGTAAGAGTTGTTACTGGGTAACCAAACACCATGTGTCATGTTATTATGCAAATACAATTCTCTATTTCTTCATTTTCCTTTCAGAAAGAAAGCCTGAATGAAAGGTAGTTTCCATTATTCTAGGGTTCTTTAACAAAAATAGTATAATAATGCTTAAATAATTACACAATACTTAATACAGCCATCGCTGGATTAAAACAGAATTCTATGAATCATGAGTGTGTACCACAACTTCAGAACAACATTTTGTAGTACTTGAGAAAATCTAAAATTATACCTGCTAAAGAGCAGGAAGTATTCTGCTACTATACTTTAGCTACTATAGAAGGTTCAGGTTTAGTCAGTACAGGTGTGTCTTGTGAAAATGCATTACTAAATGCTTATTTCTGGGGTTGGCATGAGACTTTTCAGGAAAGTGTTCAGAGAAAGGTTTTTCTATGCACATACAACAGCAGCTAAAAATAAAAAGCAGTTTTGTTTGTTTGTCTGTTTTAGAACTTGTCCAAATGTGCTCTGTTCTTCTCTCCTTCCTGTGTTTAATTTTGTTGTTCAGCTTGTTGTTCTCTCTTGCATTAAAACGTATTCAGTTACACTGCTGAATAATAATGTCTACCTGTTTTACAACAAAGTGTTTTACCATTCTCTGTTAATATAGGCTTTTACTCGCAATGACTGTTTTTAGATTTGTCTTTGTGTTTCAAAAAAGAAGTCTCCCAATGCAATTTGTGGACAGAAAATGCTCCCTCCCCTTTGTCATAATTTCATCTGAAAAAAAAAACACTGCAGATAAATTCTGGTGTTTTGAGTGCTTTTAAAATAAATTACAGTGGTTTAAGAGGATAATTACTGGGCCTGTATTATAGCATGTTTTAAGACTCCTTTTCCACCTATTTAATCTCTTCCTTTTAAATGCCAAAATCTGTCACTTCTGCTTTCGAGCCATCACTGCTAAGAGCTGTTTGTAACTGTAGATGGAAAGTAAGCTCCATAACTCATGTTTTTCTGTTTGTTCTTAGCTTATAACCAGGAAGAGCAATTAAAGCAATACATATCAATATCATTTCTATTTTGAAAATCAAATATAGCCTATTTTATATTAATAATAAGAAGAATCACTTTATTGTGCCTTACAAACATAGAGGGGTGCACAAAGCAAACTAAAACATATGAAGGAAATGGACTTCAGAAATAAATCTAAAAGAACATACATTTTAATATGTTTTAATAAAAGACATTTCTTGCTTGAGATGTTTCTTTGTTCCCTTGCTATTGAGGTAACAGGACTTTGTTATCCCGCAAGCTCGATTCCTTTTCTCTAAGTATTCTCTCTTGTCTTCTTCTTTTATTTCAACAGAAACTGCCAGGCAAACTCCCCACTCCAGCTCTTTGGTTGTCAGAATCCCATGGATTCGTCCAAGAATTTGAAATCAATCCGTGCCAGCTGTTCATGGTTAAACAGGCTGACACTAAACCTCCAAACAGCTGGGCGTCTCTGCCAGTGGCACAGGGGAACCCTAACCCCTACCCTCCTCAAGAGTCCTGGGAAACAAAGCCGCCTGGATGCTCCCCATTGTACATGTCCCAGAACCGTGAGCCTCCAAGAAACCTTGACAGCACACGATCCTCAACCACCAGTTACGGGCTAGTTGTTGACCTGAAGCCAGATCTCGCCACAAAGGAGAACATGAGCATCAGGGACTTGAGGATCTGTGCTAATCCTGCTGAAGAATCTGAACTGAATCACTGTGCTGTCCCAGATGGCAACCAAGGTGAAGAGAAGAGACCTGTTTACTTCAAGAACAATGAAAGAGAGTGTCTTCCGGCGCACAGAACGCAGGCGTCAGAGCCATCCATCAGCTACCAAGCCGGGCCACTCATTCTCCCTGCAATGAGAGTGGGAGGCATCCTGACGCTGCCTTCATTATTTCTCAGTCTGACCCAGGATGACCAGGAGGTGGACACCAGCTTTGGTGGCCAGAGCTGCAGGGAAGACAGGCCACTGCTGTTAGACCTTAGAATCGACAGTGAGGACTCTTGGATAGAGCCAGTGGCATCAGAAGAGGAGGGGGAGAAGAAATACCTCCCTGTGCAGTTCCCTGCACCTTGCACGCAAGAACAGACTCTGTGTTGCTACCTTCCACCCATCCATAGTCAAACAGCAGGGCAAACGCCAGCGGTGTCTGACTGCAGCTCAGGTTACAAGCAGAACTGGACCCCCCAGCAAACACAATCCTTACCCTCATCGCAGCTGGAAAGGCCTGAAAAAGATGATTTCACAATACCTTCTTTCATAAAAACTGAAACAAGGGAAGGAGGGGACTTTCTCAAAAACTGGTGCATACAAATTCATGAAGGAAAAGACTAACCTGTTTGGCAGCTTTTATTTTTTTACTTTGATCTTTCTTTGATCCCATCAATTCACACATTTCACTCTAGAGGGCGTAATCTAAAGAAAATGTTCTGTGGTCTCACACGGTTTCCATTTTTGCCCGTAACCAAGCATCATCACGCAGCTAAGAAAGAAGATGATATCTGAGAATCAACAAGTAAAGCTTTGCTCTGAAATTAGGTTGCTGCTTTTAGTTTTCATAAAAACAGGGACCCCCACAATGACATAGTCCAAACACTATTGAGCAAAAGATGAAGGTTTACAATGCAGTACACATGACTATGCAGCATGCATTAACATTCTGGTTACGTTTCCAAGCATAACCCAGGCATCACAGTCCTTCACGGAGAGTCAAAATGAAATAGCACCCAGGCATGCCCTGATTAGCATGAGCTGCCTTAACTCAAAGATCCTGTACAATACAAGCGAAATGCCAAGCACAGCACAAAGTAGACACAAATGCACCCAAATCTGCCAGCTTGGTGTGTATCAAAACCACATCCACTTACCATTAGCAGGAAAACCAGACCACCCCAGTATCTGTCCCGGTGTTCATTTTGACAGAGAAGGCTCTGCCTATGCCAGTAAGGAAATGTGGGCATTATGCTTGTGTCTAATGTGTGTTCTCTTTTCAAACTTTACAGCAGCTATTTTGCACATTCAGTTTATTTTTTTGTACTGGTAAAACATTATAATAAGTTATTTTGTGTGCTTAGTATTTTTTAGAAATGTGTGTAATTGAAGGAGACAAGGAATAAAAGATGGAGAGCTAGGATAGTTCATGCGACTAATGCATAGTTTGGAAGAGCTGGACCACTAAAGCATTCTATGGTACACCCCTGGCAGACCTCCCCTGGAAAGATTCCTTTTGCTTAGCAGTTTCATCCATTTGACACTTAGGTGAAATTGTACATATAGGATGGTTCAGTGTGAAAGACCAAATCCTGTCTGGGCCAGAGGAGGACAGCAGGCTGGAGATTGTAGCCTTCAACTGCATGTTATTCTAGCAGTAAACCTGATCTGTACGAGAGGAACCACAGGGATAGACGTGGTGTCTGTGCTTGGCTGAGGAGCCAATGGCGTGATTCTACCATCAGTAGGGTTGACAGTTTAATGCCTCTAAGTCAGAATCTCCCCTAAAAGGTTTTGGCATTTAGTAGTGTAATAGTAAAGATAAAAGAGGGAAAGCTGAACGATGCAAAATTCTCATACCAATGCAAATTTCTTTCCTTCTTTCCTTGTTCTTGAACCCCAATGAACGGAAATTGCTTTAAAGGCAGGACACTGCCCACCTAAAAAGTTGCCAGTTGGCCACATTTCATCCCATCAAGCCTATTCTGTTTTTTTGTGGGTAAATGTGTGGAGATTAGATTAAATGAAGTTAGAACAGTTTTCAGGAAGGGTGGTTCAGAAATGTTTATGAAGTTGTCAAGAAGCTTTGGGGTTGACCACCTGGCAGTACTGTAGGATGAGAAAGCTGAGACCCTCCTGCAGAGTGAGGAGTTACCCATGAGGCAGCAGCCAAGGTGGAGAAGCACTAGAGGAGGGGTGCAGAAAGACCAATGGGAGGAAGGGAGGTTTTTACTGTGGTATTTCCATCTTTCCAGGAAGTGATACTATGGAGAATTAGTAGTTAATTCCAGAGAAGAGAATTAACTTTTGGTGGCTCTCATCACCCCAGGGATTTTCATTAAATATCCATAGAAATGTCTAGATTTTTGAGTGTTGTTAGTACAGTTTTAACTAGGGCTTGCAAACCCCAGAATGAATCGAGCTTCTCCGCAATCATCCTGCTTTTCATCCGGGCAGAGAGAGGCCGTCCCGTACTGGGAAAGTCAACAAGCCCGGCACACACTTGTGAGGTCATAGAAATTGATAAACCTTGTGTGCTAAGAGAGATTACAGCAGAGGACAAAAAGGGTGGGGTTTGTGATACTGGAGAAGGGTAAAGTACATACGTGACAAATCGCAGGTAGCAAAAGTGATTTTTAAAGAGAAAGCAAAGAGTAGCAGGAAAAGACTTAAACCTTCTGAAATTTTATTTTATATATTTATTATATTAAATATTACTATTTTTATACTTCCTGTTAATTGACATACATGTATATTGTTTGGGATATCAAAAAAATAAATGAATCAATATGTCTCATTTTTAAGGCAAGACCATGTGCACTCTCAGGAATCTGGAGTGTCAATGTCATCAGTCTAATTGGGGCCAACATTCCTTATCTTATCAATTGCTGGCCAGGTAGCCAGACAGGTTTAGGGATATACAGTATGGAAGAAACCAGACCATTCATTTTTGGGAGGTCAGTCAGTAGATCTTTTTGGCACAGTACAGCAACACGGCCCGTCACCAGTACAGTATAAATAACACTCCACACATTCACTCTCTGTCTCAGATGAAAACCCAGCAAAGTGATTAAGCTCCTACCTTTACAGGCCTTTACAGGCCTGGCTGCAGAAACCTAATCTTAGTCAAAAGGACTAATCCCTTGTTAGGGCATTTTAAAGGAAAATGCCCTGTTGTCAAATACAGGTAATATTTATTTTGTTCTTGTGGTGTTTCCCAGGCAAAATAAATCTCTCTCTCGCATTTTGATGCACTAGCTGGTATAGTGAGAAAACCTCATACTTATCTAGTATCTGTTTTGCCCTGAGTAGGGTTTTTATTTTATAACAGATGTGCCTTTTTACTCCATGGGTTCTCTGTGTCATTTGCCTTTTTAAGATCTGTACTGGTTCTGTGGAAAACTGGACCCAGGTCCTCACAGGTTTTGTAAATAATTGTCAATAATTGCTGTAGACAGTTACTGTTTGTGTTTTTCTGTTTATAACTGTAAATAAATATTTGCTGTCTTTTTATATTCTCTGCCTTATTCATTACTTTACAACTGCCGGGAAGAACAAAGAAACCTGGTGCCACATGTGTTATCAATTCTTATCCCCTGCCCATGTGGGGAGATGTAATTACTTTTACCATTTATTTGCAAGGTAAGCTAGTTTCAGGACCTAATTTTTATTGTTTAAATTTTAGCTTCATTTGTTAGATTTGTTTACACGTTCCTGGTTATTCCTCTCTATTTTAACTTCAGTTTATAATTATTCCATCTTCACTCTGCATATTCCAATAATGATTCTTAATGCTTTTACGGAATAATGCAAACCTCTATGGAAACTCTGAAATTGATTATTAAATCGTATTTTTAATTAATTTGCATGAGTTGAATAATGGTCTTCCTGTAACAGAATAATTGAATTTTAAATACCCTGTAATTTAACATGTGCTTTCTTGTAATAAAAAAGTCATCAAATGAAGTAAGTGAGCAGATATAACTATACTCTTCCAAGTCCCACAGCAGAGAAGGTTACTCATTTACAGTTTCATATGAAATGAAATGCTTCTCCCTTTGTGTATGTGTGAAGATTTTTATTTTGTCTTAATTTATATATGTTGTCTCCATTCTGAATTTAAAAAATTGTTAAAACATTCCAGTGGAACAAGCTCCCATTTCAAAATGCTGTATTATTCCTAGAAAAGCACATATTTAATGTGGCAAAGAAAAATAAGGAATGAGGTACTCAGATTGTTAATAATGCCACTTATTTAATATGACATTCAAAAACACACCTTAAAATGTGGGGAAACAAAAAACAAATTCAATTGAATAAATTGAACATGATAAAATTAAATATTCGGATATTTTATTAAATTAGGTCATGATTTAAAAACAAAAGCTGGATCAGTTTTTTAATGGCCATGGTAAGAGAGATCCTCTGTTATGTTTTTTATATATGCAGTGTAGACAATACTTCAAGTCAAGGCCAAAGCTCAAATATTAAATCTAATGCATATAATTGTAAATACTATATTGAGGATGTCATGGTGGTGCAGTGACAGCATTGTTGCTGTGCAGTGCCTAGGCCTGGGTTGAATTCTTGAGGTACTGTCTGCATGGAGCTTGCAAGTTCTCCCTGTGTTTATGTGGGTTTTTTTCCAGGTGCTTCAGTTTCCTCCCACAGTCCACAGACACACTCGCAGAGTAATTGGCTTCTGTAAAATTGGCCATAGTGTTAATGTGTGTCTGTATTTGAGTCTGTGTCTGCCCTGTCTTTCACCTGTTGTTTGCTGGGATAGGCTCATGCTCTCCCACAAACCTGATTTGGACACAGCAGTGAGAAGATGGATGGATTGTGTCATGTCTAAAATATTATGGTACATACAGTACAAGTAAATTGGGAATAATTCAGGGATCTATGATTTAAGTGCACATTTGCTTAAAAATAAAACACCGTACTGTAAGAGAAGAAACGTTAGAAATGACAAGAGATTGGACGAATGGTTTTTAAACATGTGTGTTTTTTTTGCAGTTTGGCAATGTCAACCAGAAAATTCTTGAAGGAACGCAGGAAAGCAACTACAACAGCATAACTGCAAAGTTTGCTCAGAGGCAAAGAGTTGTGGGAGTATGGAATTAGAATCTTTCAGTGGTTGGATAAGAGACGTAGATCAATTAAGTACAAAACAAGCTAGACAGGATGTACGGCTCCCTTCATTTGTACGGCTTCATTTGTAACCACTCTTATCTTCTCATTTTCATTGCTAAAAAGCTATATTATATTAAGTTTCAGTGAAAAAAAAACTAAAATGGAGGAAACTAAGCTGATATTTCCCTTCTATGGCTAGGCGATCTAAGAGTTTAAAATAAAAGGCTTGATAGCAGGTGGTTCCTTGTGTTCAAGTCCTATTTTGTAACAGAGCAGCTCGCTGAATCACCCTTTCCTGTAAAATAAACTCCTCTGTCATTATAACATGGCTACTATGACAGTTTTGCTAATATGTAGTTATCCAGCTATCTCCTTTAGGACAAAAGTCACTACAAATCAACTAATTATGAAATTCATCATTTCAATACAGCATGAACACAACATAATCATAACCCTGCATAATAATTTAGATATTTTTGAGAATCAATGGGTGTGTTTATTCTGTCAGATATGTAGTGCTAACAGGAGCATTTTACTCCAAGATACATTAAACACTGAAACATATCAAAAGATAATTTTTTAAAGTATATTGTGTTAGAACTGTGTTAGCATATTAAATGCTATTGATCTAGATAATATAACCATGTCTAGTCTGTTTTGAGTAGGCCACCTTGAGGACTGATTTTTTTTTTCAGATGGTATCCTGTGCAATTTTTTCCTCTTTTCTTTCTTTCTCAGACTCCTTTGTGTCACTCTCAGAAAAGGCTAGCTCTTTGTTTATAAGCACAGGGATATTGCTGGCAGGCCAGGAGGGATGTAAGTTATTTCACTGCTATATCTTACTTCCACAACTTGTCAAAAAGAACTTGCAGAGATACATAAAAGCAACTTATTTACAAAAGTGCCTGAGGAGGCTTTAGTGACGCCAATAGCAGAAGCGCCATGTTATTTTCACAGCAGGTATTGACACTTAAACCCATCATCGATATGCCAAACGCTTTTCAGATTGGGGTGATCAGACAAGAATAATATAAACAACCTTGTATAGCGTAAGTGTCATTTTTCGCATCCAATAATGTAGAAGTATCTGCATTCTTTTATCTCAAGATAAAAGAAAAGATCGTAAAATAGTAGGAAAACCATTTCAAACATTTTCAAACAGCACTAAAATCATCAGTGACTGTTTTCCCAAACTACTTCAAATCTTAGCTCAAGCATTTTCAGAGCAATGGCGATAAAGTTAGTGTTACAGGCTGCTGGATGTACAGATGTATTAATTATACTATGCACAGCAGATGCTAAATGTTTTTGCTTTGCTGCCTTTGGTGAAGTTCTTATAAACTCCACAGTGGATGCAGATTTTTAAAAAGCTTTTTAAAACTGTTAAAAATAAAAAGCTATCAAATAAAAAGCTATCAAGCTTTATCACACCTAGTCTTAGAAGAGACATTTCAGACGTTTTTTTCACTTAAACCAACAAGGGTTTTTACTGTTCTCACACTATACATACAGTATTGTTTTGCTTTCTATTTATAAATTTGCTTTCAAAGATTTGTAATGGGATGCTTGTCTGTATATGGAACAGCATGCAAGAGTGTTTATTCCTCAAGAATCTATTCCTTTGAGTAGGACCTGCACCAGAAACAGGAAGTCACTGGAGGTGTAGCCATGCAGGTATAATTTGCTCACGATACCGATGTTCTGTGAAAATTCTGGAAACAGTATTTTGTACATGATAAAATTGTGAAATAAAAGATTTCAGAGAAATGTGCACTACATTAATACAGAAGCATGCACTACTGTCTCAGGCTGAAAAAGGACTAAGGAAAGATATCTTAATCAGCTATTTAATGTCACTGAAGCAAAAGAACTTGAACAGTTGATGACCTTTAGTAGATATATTTAGATAATATTTAGTTTATTTTACCTCGGTTTCTGATATTTTGTCAACCTCATCCTTGACAAAACATCCACATTTCAGTACATTCCACTGTTACTGAAGGGATGAATTTGTTTGTTGTGTCAAGCAGAATATCTGTGAATATTGCCTTCCATTCTCTACTGATTCCATATCTATGTTACCTCAATGTACTGCTGGCTGTACTACTGCTGTAATTTTCCCTAAATTACAGACCTTTGTTTTGGACCCTACCTATACAATTTCAAAGCATACTTCATAGCCACACCATATTGGGGCCACAGGGTCTGTTGAATGAAAAGAGGTCTGCACAGACATCCCCTTGAGGCGCCCCAAAAAACGAAGGGAGAAAGCACTCGCTAGCCATGTCTACAATTTCTCTTTCAAATGCTAAAATCTCTGATGTTTTTTTCTCAATCTGTATGAAGACAATTAAAATCCCGATAGCCCCCTCTTCAGTTCCAGAAATAAAAATGGCATTATAATTGACAGTGGGGGACTACAGTACTGTCCAGGGTATACCTGGACTTGCGTCCATTGATTGCTGAGACAGGCTCTGGCTCCGCCACAGCCCTGAATTGGATGAAGCAGTTAGAAAATAGATGGATGGGTGCATTCTAATGGATATTGGTGGTCTGTAGTCTCTTTACTCCTAACGCAATACCTTTTGAATTTATTTTTACATTTGACCCATATAGATTCTGGGACCCTTGATTCCTCTAGGTTCCATTCTTGTGTCTCAATACTCTTTCTGATTTAAAGTCAGATAGTTTCATATAGTTTCTCCTCCCCCTCTTCTATTTTTCCTGTCTGGAACACTGTTGTATCTCCAAGTGTTGCATTTGTCACCATCACTCTGTTAGCCATGTTTCAGCTACTAAAATTACATCACAACTGCCTGCTAATGCAGAAGCTTTCATTTTCTGCAATTTGTTCCTAATGCTCCTGACATTTACGTATAAATGTTAACTCAACAGGTCCTGTGACATTTTGTTTTTTCCTTGGCTTTTTTTGTTCCAATACTTGTGTATCTCCCTTTCGGATTTTCTTTGATTTCTTCCCCCTTGTAGTTTAAACATTTTTGAATTTCTGTGTAGGTCCTTCCCTGTAGTTTGATGAAGAAGATCTTGAAACTCACTTACAGTAACATTCAGTACTGCTTAACCACTAATCTGGACACAGAATAAAACTTTATTGGAACTGATCTGGTAAGAGAAACAAGCCTTAATCAGTTACTTACACTGTTACATTTCTGTGAGATTGCAGTATTCTGCATGTTCTTTACAATTCTTCACATAGGCTGCCTCTTGAAGGTCTAGGAAACAATATCACTGTCAAATTGTTGTGTTGATTAATAAGCCAAAATAAAGAAACACTAATGTCTCTGCTAATGTGCTTCATTACATGCCAGCTTCTGTACCATACTATGCCACAGGACTCCACCCCAAGGCATCAGTGTAT